TTTTTTTTTAATTTGAGTTATTTTTAGCTTTAATATTCTTTAACAAAACCCATATAAATCCAAGATTAAAACTTTGTGCAATATTAAAAAAAAAAAAACATTCAACAAACTTTCGTAAAAATTTCTAGCATTTTATTTAGATTTTCTAGAAAGATTTTTGAAGGTTTTGTAGCTCACTCAATTCTAATATAATAAAGTGCATGTTTTAAGTGGCTAGAAATGTTTGTTTTAGAATTGCCCACAAAAACTTCCCCACGAGTTGGCTTCCCTGGTATACATATACGCTATCCTTGAAAAGGCAGCGAAAGCTTCATTCAACTGCACGACTTGTTCCCACGCACACAGTGACATCGATTGCATGCACACTACAAAAATGCTCTGCCGAGGCTGCCCGCCTCTGATCTAAATACATTCCTGCACCAAAAAGAATATTTGGCAAAAATGTCGCTTAAAGCTTTTTGGCGGTTAGACTGGGTTCACACAGAGAAATCTTTGTTGCTCATTTTCGGCAATTTCTCTTTTGGTGTTGCTCTTCGGTTTCACACAGAGCAATTCTTTTGTACATAATTGTTGTTGTCAGCTGTGAACGGCCAAGTAGAATTACTCAGACGAACGAGAGCACAAAGCGTGTTGCCCGAGCACGGGCAACTCGGTGCCCTTCCTCGTCACTCCCTCTCCCACAAGTAAGGAGTTGCCGCAACAAAAGTTTCTCTGTCTGAACCTAGACTTAGGGCTCGATATATGTATCTCGTTAACTGGTCTATTAATTTCTACCAAACTCGGTACAGTTATTAACCTTGCCGCAGAAAAGGAATATGTTGATAATTTTTTTAAATCGGACTAAAATTACGCCCACTTACGGTATATTTCAGAAATAAGAAAACTCCGACATTCCAATAACTATAGATGCCAATTTACTCCAAGTTATAGCAATATCTTAACAAGAAACAAGATTCTAGATTTTGGGAAAATGGGCGTGGTACCACCCACCTATGCCTACATAAGTGTATATCGATAATCGCTTTATCGATTTCCACCAAACTTGGTCCAATTACTTAAATATATCAAAGCATTTTATCGAAACTATTGAGAAAAACTCTTGCTTATCATGCATTTCGTTGAAGGGTGAAAAACGATATTTAATACTTGCCGCGGGTATGTAAAGTTCGGTTTCGCCCGAATTTATACTTCTTTAGTTGTTTTGGTACTGAACTACTTAAAATAGTAAGTACAAAAAAAAATTGGGTTAGGCCACTCCTACTCTCACAGCGTAAATTGTCGAGAGGTGACCGTGGTTAGAAAAATCATTTGCTTCAATTTTTAATGTTGCAGAAATCAAAAATCGAATTGGTTCTTGTCAAGCGCAAGTCAGACCTTATCCCTCCAGCCGTGTCGCCCGAATCCATTAAATTTAATTTCCATCATAGTCTTTTATAACGTTTTTCATATTCCCGGTTCTACTTTTATCATTCAATTTTTAAATAATACAAGTTAAAATCTAAACTACGCACAAAAAGTCGCAATTTTATTATTTTTTATTCAAATAGTTAATTACCAAAAAATGTCAAATCAACCCTGCAAATGTAACCACCCTGCAATTAGAACTGTCAGTTTGACATTTCAGTACTGCCAATATGACGTCAAACGAAGAAGCATGTCTTCCTTTCTCAAAAAGTCGTGCCTGTGCTAAAGACGTGTTTCAATACTTTTTAAGTGTTTTAACAGGTAATTTTTGCAAAATGTCCCAAGTAATTCTTTTAAAAAGTGTCTGGCGTAACTGCTGCACAAGGAAACAGTGAATTTGTAACTGAAATATTCCACTTCGTCGTTGGAGCACACGTGGATATATATATGATTCCTCCGTTGTATGCAAATGTCAAATCGGGCTTTTGTGAGGTTATGTTGCCGATGTAGAGCATTGGACGCTGGACACAATTTTATTTACTCAAACGCTTTTCACTTTCCTATAATTGTTGTACCTTTATTTACAGAACAGCTGCAAAATGTCCGGTACAACCGCCAC